TGTGCTGAGGGGCCAGAGGGCAGCGGCCACACGGCCAGTGTGAGCCGAGGTGTGGGTGTTGGTGAGAACCACGTGCCAGGGCTGAGGGAGCAAAACAAAAGAATGTAAAATACACATTTCTTTTTCCTTGAGTACATGTTGGAATTTTTGATAGGTTGGGTTAAATAAAACATATGATTCCATCTGCTCTGGTGTATTCTTTTTTAACCTTTTACAGGTGGCTACTAGAAAAGGTGAAATTCACATATGACTCACACGTTTGTATTGGACAGTGCCGGTCAGAACTAACCCTCCTGCAGAACATAACCAAATACCCAGGACCAAAAAGAACTTTCCAGGCCCAGCACAGTGACTCACACCTGTAATCCCAGCACTTTGGGAGCGCAAGGCAGGTTGATCGCTTGAGGTCAGGAGTTCAAGACCAGCCTGGTCAACATGGTTAAACTGCCTCTCCTAAAAACACAATAATTAGCTGGGCATGGTGGCACACACCTGTAGTCCCAGCTACTTGGGAGGCTGACGCAAAGACTCACTTGAACCCCGGGTGGTAGAAGTTGCAGTGAGCCAAGACTGCACCACTGCAATTCAGCCTAGGCAACAGAGTGAGACTCTGTCTCTAAAAATAAAGTAACTTTTTGAAATTACCTAGGAGCTATGAAGAAAGTAAAATGATAGAAGAAAATATACAAGAAAACACCGGACATGAAGTGAATCTTAAATTTCAAAAGGCCTGAGACCTTCATCTCATGTTTAGTCTTCAATGTTCACTAATGGAAAACCCAAACAAGCCAAGCAAAACCCCCAGAAAGCCCTCCAAAGATCTGGAAATGTATCGCCATCTGTGAAACAGCTAAAGCAGGGCTTCGAGGAAAACGCACGGCCTTAAATGCCTGTATCACAACAGAAGACCTACCTTAAAAGGTAGGGGAAAAACAGCAAATGAACTCAAAGCAGAGGGAAAGAAAAATAAAACAAGAATTAAAACCAAGTTCTTTGAAAACAGTAATGAATGTGTCCAACAGGATTAATCAGGAAATACAGAGACGGAAGATGTAAACAATGTTGGGAATGCCAAGTGTGTAACTAAAGGTGCTGCGTATGATGAAGGACACCACATGCTGTGATGACAAGCATCATGCCAGTACATTTAAAAACACTAGTTAATTGACAAATTCTAGAAAAACTGACAAGAAGAAAAATAAATCCAAGTATTTCTATAACCATGAAGAAACTGGAATCAGCAGTTAAAAAATAAAGCTCCAACCTAAAGGGTTTTACTTGTCGTTCTACCAAATACTCCAGATGTACAATTCCAGTCTTCCACGAACAAATCCACAGTATAGAAAAACAAAGAACACTCCTCAGCTTATGGAGCCAGAATAATCTTGAAACCAAATCTGACCAGGACTATATGAGAAAAGAACATTTAGGCCAATTATCACTCATGAAAAGAATGCAAAAGTTCTACATAAATTATAAACAGAGTCTTGCAATATGTAAAAACACTAACATATAAAGGACCAAGTTGGGTTTATCTCAGGAATGCAAGGTTGGTTTAATATTAGAAAATCAGGCCAGGCGCAGTGGCTCATGCCTGTAATCTAACACTTTGGGAGGCTGACGTGGGCAGATTGCCTGAGCTCAGGAGTTCGCCTGGCAACACGGTGAAACCCCATCTCTACTAAATACAAACAAAAATTTAGCCCAGGCGTAGTGGCGTGTGCCTGTAGTCCCAGCTACTCAGGAGGCTGAGGCCGAAGAATGGCTTGAACCCGGGAGGCGGAGGCTGCAGGGAGCCGAGATTGCACCGCTGCACTCCAGCCTGAGGGACAGAGCAAGACTCCATTTAAAAAAAAGAAAAGAAAGGAAAAAAGGAAACTGGCAGGCACACAGAAGATCCAAACCATCTGATTCTACCCTGGCCCCTCCCCAATCTCAGGTCTTTCTCCTATTTCAAAATCCAATCATTTTGATCCCAACAGTCCCCAGAGCAGAAGGCAGCATGCAGGAAAGGAGCCCAGGGAAGACCAAAAGCAAGGGGGGAATAACGAAGAACAGAATCAACAAAAAGAAAGAAACAAGCAGTAAAGAGTACTGGCAAACACCAAACGCTGGTTGTCTGAAAACAGCAGTAAGATAGTCATGCCCCTGGCAAGACTGTTTCCAGAAACAAGTGAGAAAACGCAAATTAAATACAGATGAAAAAACCTCGACGCAACAAAGGATGTTGCAGACACACCAACATGCACCAATACGTTGGAAGCCTTAGTAGAACCGATCCATTTCTGGGGGAAAATAAGCCAAAACTGCTATTAGAAAGAAGCAGGCTGGGCACAGTGGCTCACACCTGTAATTCCAGCACTTTGGGAGGCCAGGAGTTCGAGACCAGCCTGGCCAACTTGGTGAAACCCCGTCTCTACTAAAAATACAAAATTAGCTGGGCGTGGTGGCACACGCTTGTAATCCCAGCTACTCTGGAGGCTGAGGAGGGAGAATTGCTTGAACCCAGAAGGTAGAGGTTGCAGTGAGCTGGGATTGCACCACTGCACTCCAGCCTGGCGACAGAGACTCCACCTCATCTGCTCGGGTGTATTCTTTTTTAACCTTGATTACATGTTGAAATTTTTGATAGGTTGGGTTAAATAAAACATGACTCTATCTCAAAAAAAGAAGAAGGAACTTGCATTGCTGGGAAGACAGACCCAAAGTGCCGTCCCTGTACTTCCGGCTCAGTGCTACCATGACAAACGCAAGCCAGCTCTGGACTGCAGAGAAGGTGCTGACGGCTTGGATCCAGGCACGGCTGGTGCTGGGCTCCCTTGAGCTGCTTCCTGTCCCCATCTAAGACTTGGAGTCAAAGCAGCACAGAAATGCCAATACGTACAGGTGAAGGGCAGCCCAGCAGGACAGAGCTCTCGGACAACCACCACCCTATTCCAGCCTGCATCCCAGGCCCTTCCCCTCCTTGCCAGGATGGTGAAAAGCCAGGACATTCACCTCTCCCCCATCCCACCAGCAGAGTCCATGGAGGCCATGTGGGAGGAATATTGTGGAGCTCCTTC